AAATTTCCTGGACCATAGCTGGCGTAACCGCACGTATAATCATTGAAATCCGAGATTTAGTGATAACCCGGTTTTTCACGGACGCCTAACGAATTATTTACCGATAGACACGCAGATCTATTTATAACAACTAATTATAGCAACTTATTTATACGCATATTTTAACATGATTGTGGTTTATTATTTAAAATGTTGCTAAAAAGTATTACAGCTTAAAATAGCTATAGTTAAGAAGCTTAAATGTAGCGTAATATTATTATAATAGCTATATTATAACGTAAATAGCTTTAGAAAGGTAATGTGAAGACGGTTAGAAAAGGTAACATTTATTTATTAGCATAAACTTCAATACTACAGTACGATTACGTAACCTCTCTGGTTTGCCTCTACGGGCAGGTGTTCAGAGAACCAGTATGTACAAGCACATAAATAACATATACAAATGCAGTGCTTTTCATTTACACAATAATACGGCATAGATGTCTGCATGCGCTCCACAGCTGCAAAGAATAAAGGCACATACCTTCATCATTCACATTATGTTATTGCTCGTGTGCCAGCAAGGAAAAAATATTACTTAATCGTCCGTATATAATGTCATTATTTGAAATTATCAAAACTTCGTTTGGTTATAATTAAATTCACTTCCAATTACTAAATTCAATATTTCATTTAGTAGAGTTATTGTGTTTAATTGTCCACGTGAGGCTCAAATTTTATGATGTAGTGATTACAAGACTGCATGCTAGTGTAGTTCATTCCCACACATTACTTAAGTATTGTATTCTTTCATTATATTTTATATTATATGATTACACTGTTTCGTGTTTTTTTAACGGTAACCCAAATTTGCGTCAAGATATCTTCCTCTGCGTTCATTAGCTGTTCTCTTTAAGAGCTGATAAAACCCCTGTGATATTGATTTATATCCGCCATTTTGTATTTTAATGTGGGGATTTTCATGTTATATATCATAATATTTTACATAAGCCGATCAGCGAATATCCTGTCTAGTAATAATTTTTGAGCGTGTTTGCAATAGTCTACATTATTTAAAATAAACTGTAAAACGTATAGATACCTAACTTTAAATTAGTTTACCTGTATACACCCCTGTCTAAACCCCAACTTGCTTCGATTAGAATTTAATAACAACAAATTGCAAGAAATTTACAATGACTTTAGAAAGTGAGAAGTTGCGTATCATACTTATTATTCATGAATAATCAAATACAATAGCCTTAACGAAACGCTTAAATAACGTGTGGGTTGAATCAGATGCAATAAATAATGTTCTAACTCTAAATATTTCTCATTAAATAAACAATCTAACGCTACTTTATATAATAAATAATTGGAAGTGTGTTTTTATTTAACAGATAAGTGCATATGGAACATCACTCATTTATAAATAATTACAAATAACGGCAATATATACGTCTACATGCATAGGTGCATAGGTACCTATTACCGCTCATCGCCGTCGCTCATTGCGCACTCGTTGCGTACACTCATTAGCATACGCACATTTTCCTACTACTATTAGCGCATTTGCCGCGCCTTTTATATTCGACGTTACACTTTGCATTATTCGAAATTCTATGTGAAATGCTGTCACCCTATGCAGTGTCGCGTTCCGAAGCACATATATTATACGTGTGAAAATACCCCGGAACGATTAATGTCCCAAAATTTGGTGTTGTGTCCACGTGTGAGCCCGTTCATTCTGCTACACTGTTTGCATCTGGGGTGAAATAAGCAAATAACCTGCATATAACTGTCGTACGAGTAGAACCAATTACAGTATATAGTTATAAACGGCTGCCATATAGGACAAATTCATAGGTGCGATAATGAAAACCGATGATACCCCACATATCACACGGCTATTTGTTATATTACGCCATCTTCTACTCGCCCAATATCATAAGTAAAGCTGTTGTCAACGTTATCGCCGGATACATTTTTCCTTGGATCTATTGCACATCGTAACTAGATACAGTTGCTTCAGAAGACATACACACGCTCTATAATGGTTACATATAGACGTTTATTCAGTAAGAGAGAGTCAGGACGAATAGGGAGACGCAGCGGTCTTGCTGTTCTGGTAGATCACCTTTTCCTTATAGGCCAATATAGATGCATACATATGACGAACAGGCGGGTGCATTTATCTTTCTCTACATTGGCCTCTCCCCGGGAAAGGTTCCATCTTTATGTGATTTGTGTAATCGATAGCGCGCTGTGCCTCTATAGTAAGAGGAAACCACGGCGAAGGGTCACGTTCAGGATCTTCGCGATCTTGCTCCTCGGGATATCGTTGAGTCACTATCTATACAACATCGCGTCTGGAAGCACCAAATGCGCCAAGTTGTACAGAAAACTAGCGTACCAGTGTATACCGTCCTGTGGAATGCTAGCTGGTTCACGATGGACTGCATCACCACGGGACGAGGTGCCGAGTTTCCGTAAAAAGTCTTTCCAGTTATAGTAAAGTCTTACGGGCGCAAACGCCCAGTGCGCCACCGCCTGACTGTTTATGACTGCGTAACAAGAGGCGAGCACGTTGTCGACGACTATAGTTCCCTCTAGCGTCAATGGTGCAAACACGCCGCTGTCCACGTGATGCCTGACTTGTAACACTCTTTCTACTGTTAGAGAGGAGATACCAGAGTGTGTATGTCTCACATAAATATAATCGCCAGGCTTAACGTCTTTTGCGAATATCACGGGACCAGACTTGAATTCCACGTTTGATTTCGAAGCCGTGTAAATCAGATGACTTGGCGTCAGCGTAATACTTTGATTTCCTTCCGTCTCGATAGTGAAAAATAATCTCCGTTTTTCTTTGTTTCTATCGAGAAATAGTATCACTTTGCTGTAAGCAAGGGCACCGTTTGAGTCAGCTGTCAAAACCCTATCGTGTACATTCAGATCTCTAATCTTCTTTGTTTCACCGTTGTCCATATAAACTACACTATCACCATGGAAACAGCCACCAGATCTTGCGGCTTCAGACGATTCTGAAATGGAAAAACACGACATTATTTTATTGCTTGTCATGCTCCTTTGTTTTTATTTTGTACTTCGCATGTATAAAATTTATCACGCGAGTGGTGGATACGCACGATCTTTCTTATTTAACACGGTAAACGCATTTGTTATTTATATATTATTACCTGTAAATATAGTTTAGTTAAAATATACGTTTTAAAATCGATCTTATTAAAAACACACAAGACACGCACACACACGCACTCACATGCAATCAGAAGTGTACGCGCACGCGCACGTACACGCAGACGCACACGTACACGCACACGCACACGCACACGTACGCGCACACGCACATGCACGCACGCACACGCACACGCACACGTACACGCACACGTACACGTACTTGCACACGCAGACGCACACGCACACGTACACTCAGACGCACACGTACAAGCACACGCACATGCACGCACGCACACGCACGCGCGCCCACACACATACACACACACACTCACATGCAGTCAGAAGTGTACGCGCACGCGCGCGAAAATACACACACACACACACACAAACACACACACACACACACACACACACACACACACACAAACACACACACACACACACACAACATCAACACACACCACATGTGGCCAGTAGTGTATGATGCCATGCGCTATACATCTCAATTGAAGTGCATCTCCGCCAAGATATAGTAAAATTAGATATACGATTTTTCACATTCGAATTTCATTAACTTGTCTCCGCGCACGAATTCGTTCTTTCGTATCTAAGATATATTATTACACGCAACTTATAAGCAACGAAGGAATTGAATGTATAATATACTCTCTAACGACATGCTAAAGCTATCCCTTTCACTGCCTGCATTCTAACAAACACACTCACTCCTGACCCTCATATATATAAAACCAATTTAATAAGCTAAACCAAGGGATGGCGTCTCCGCCCACAGTTGCGCAGGTGATCTTTGATGATACTACGCGCGTCGCTATATGTATCTACGCCGCGCATTGACAATTTACATATGTACGCCACAACACACGGGCCATCAGCAAATCGCAACCTCGACAACGCACATGACACTTAACGGAGCAGTGGTATGATTGAGTAGGCGAGACTCTGCGTAGTAGAAGCCATCGAATCCGCCTCGACTCGCGCGAGCCGCGCCAGCATCCGTTTTGCGATCGGTCTCGTCAGCTCGTCTGACATCGACGGCTCGACCTTCGTAGTGTGGCGAGTCCGGGGATGCTGGTTGTCTCGACCAAGCTTCTGTGACCCGCAGTTTAACGTCCGGCCACTGATTCAATCACGCGATGAGACAGGTCGTAAGGCGATCGATGCAAGTCTGTGAATGAGTCGAAGTCATTAGTGAAGATGCGTTTTAGAAGTCATTAGTGAAGATCATAGTTCGAGTGGCGTAATCATGATTCACGTGAAAATTCGCGCCGCTCAGTTTTGTTTTTGCTCGAAATTCTGTCGATTTTAATATATTTGTGTCGGCGCGCGCAGTGTGTGTGTGCGCGCGTTCGTCTGCTTGCTGTTACGTTCGTGCTGTGTCTGTGCTGTGTGTGGGCGCGGCGCGCGGCCGCTGTGTGTGTGTGTGTTGTGGTTGTTGTGTGTGTTGTTGTGTGTGTGCTTGTTTGTGTGTGCGTGCGTGTGCGTGTGTGCTTGTTTGTATGTGTGTGTGTGTGTGTGTGTGTGTGCGTGTGTGCGTGCGTGCGTGCGTGTGTGTGTGTGGGTGTGTGTCTGTGTGTGTCTGTGTGTGTCTGTGTGTAGGTTTCCTCTTAATAGTAATGAGGGATGGAGGAAGGAAAACATTAATTATAAGATCTAGTGTGAGTAGATAATTAATGTATGCAAAAGCAGCATACGAGGTGAGCAATGGAAACGAGCTCGCGAGTGTTGTATGTTTAAGGCGTGGATAGGGGACTAGATTGTAAGCGAAACCCTTATGATGATAACCACAGATTGTGAATGAAGAAATAGAATATAAGTTGGAGTAAAGTTGAGTCTGCATAACGGGTGAGTTTATGACTAGAAGTCGTACGTGAGTATAAGCTGCATTGTGGACTAACGAGTAGAATGTGCGAATGACTAAAATGCCCGCGAAGTATGCGGGCTTGTGGGAGAAGTAGAGAGTTTATGACTAAGATAAGTATATAAGGGGAGGGCAATAGTAGTAAGATACAGGATGATTTAATGATGAGCCAGCAGCAGGAGCAGGTGTGCCAAAACTAGGCAATATTACATCGCTTAGCTTTTCCAGTTTTAGTGGTGAAATAAAGATGGAGAAAATAGATTTAACTTTAAATCCTCCTACAGTAGGCGCCAGTCTTTTGTGAGATAGTCAATTTTTTGTGTTATTTTATATGCGTAGTTATAACCTGCTCGGAAATTTGATCGGCATAAGAAGAATTGCTTTCTATATATATATTATTCTCGAATAATTACTCTATCGAGAGGAATGCTTCGTATTGCTTGACATTCTGCTGAGTCAGTGGTCAGTGTTAGTGGTCAGTGGTCAGTGAGTCCGTGGCAGTGTGATTACATCAAACTCAAGCGCTCCTCTTTTATTTTATGTGATTTCGCAGAAATGAAACTGGTATGATCATATATTATGGACTAATTGTATAAGGTAGATTCAGTTCAGACAAATATTGATTGAGCAGTTACAACAGTCGTGGAAACGAGAAACGAACCTATTGAAACACACACCCAGGCACGCACGCACGCACGCACGCACGCACGCACGCACGCACGCAAGCACGCAGACAGGCACACACCAGCCCACGAACGCACGCACGCACGCACGCACGCACGAACGCACGAACGAATGAACGAACGCACACGCGTTCGTGGGCATGCACGCGCCCACACGCTCGCATGCACGGGGGCTTTTCGGGCCTGCTGTATGCGCAACATATAGCCGATGCTTCGCACAAGGACACAATTGAAAAGTTTTCAAATTGGGTACAATTTTCGAGGTAATTGCCGACATCCATCATTCAAAGGCACTGAGTAAAAGAAGGAACACCGGTCTTATATACTGCTGTCGTCTCTGATATCTTGAAGCAGCAGCTGTTGGCAGAAGCACCTGGGCATCTATAAGAGGCTCCCACATTAAAGCCCTGGCTGCTAGACTATACCGAGCTGCAAATTATGAAAAACTTTAATGTGTTACTACGTTTTATCATGAATACGTCTTACATAAATTTGACTGCTAAAGCTGTCATATTTAGTAGATTATTTAGCTAGGAAATTACTCAGCTAAATATTATTGCTAATACTTTAAGTTTCGTAATCATATTAATAAATAAGTATACGATATATATATATATATATATATATATATATATATGCGAATGTGCAAGCGCGCTCGTTTATCGTAGTAAGCAATATAAGTGAGCTAGCGAGAAAGGTTTGTGTATCCGGTTTTCCAAACTATAACCGACTCGCACACGGTAAGCCCATTGTTCACAGCCGTCACGCAATCACTCAGTCAGACGTTAGGAAACCCAAATCTAGCTCATATTGATCGACGATATAGCGTTTCCAAATGCGACGCGACGCGCTGCAACGTATATATGTGCGCGGTCTTGAATCTCGAACGTTTGATTTTGCTTCGCTCGCTTAGCGCGCACACACGCTCTGTGAAGTTATATTCCTGTCTGGGCGGTTTTTCGACAGGAAATACCGAGCTCTGTGCGGATTCGCCTTGTTGAGCCGTGTAGTGACTATATACACTGCATGAGAAGGTGTGGCAAATGAGGCAGGAGCTCTGATGTGCCGCGAGTTATTTTCATAGCATTAGCACATGAATTCGGCGAGGTGTTTTCTCTCTCCCTCTCTCTCTCTCTCTCTCTCTCTCTCTCTCTCTCTCTCTCTCTCTCTCAACACACACACACACACACACACACACACACACACACACACACACACACACGCACATTGTGGGGGCCAGTAGGTGTGATGATGCCATGCGCTTATACATTCAATGGAAGGTGCATCCGCCAAAATATTAGTAAAATGTTAGTATATTACGATTTTCACTTCGATTTCATTAACTTTGTCTTGCCGCGCACGAGTTCTTTCTTTTCGTATCTAAGTATATATTATCACCACTATATGCAACGAAGGAATTGATGTATATATATCTCTAGCGCATGCTAAAGCGACCCTTCCTCTGCGTGCATCTACAAACACACTCACTCCTGACCCTCTATATATAAACCAGTTTTAATAAGCTAAACGCAAGATGGCGTCTCCGCATCACAGTTGCAGTTGATCGTTTGATGTTACCTACGCGCGCTATATGTATCTACGCGCGCTGACAAATTTCATATGTACGCACAACACGCCATCAGCAAATCGCAACCTCGACACGCACCTGACTTAACGGAGCAGTGTATGTGAGAGCGAGACTCGTAGTAGACCCAGTCGAATCCGGCCTCGACCGCGAGCCGCGCCAGCAATCCGTTTTTCGATCGGTCTCGGTCACTCGTCTGAACATCGACGGCTCGACCTTCGTAGTGGAGCGAGTCCGGGGGATGCTGGTTGTCTTCGACCCAAGCTTCTGTGACCCGCAGTTTAACGTCCGGCCACTGATTCATCACGGCGATGGACAGCGTCTTAAGGCGATCGATGCAAGTCTGTGAATGAGTCGAAGTCATTAGTGAAGATGGCGTTTTTAGAAGTCATTAGTGAAGATCATAGTTCGAGTGGCGTAATCATGATTCACGTGAAATCGTGCGCCAGTTTTGTTTTTGCTATCGAAATTCTGTCGATTAATATATTTTTGTGTGCGCGCGCGCGTGTGTGTGTGCGCGCGTGTCTGCTTGCGTGGTTACGTGCGTGCGTGTGTGCTGTGCTGTGTGTGGGCGCGGGCGCGCGCGCTTGTGTGTGTGTGTGTGTGTGTGTGTGTGTGTGTGTGTGTGTGTGTGTGTG